CTTTTATAGTGTTTCTAGTGGCGGCGAGCTGGGGTGGCCATACTCATTGCCCCCCATCTCAGCCGCCACTTGTTGGAGTTCTCCCCGGTAAATGAGAGGGTCACGTCCCTTCGCCTCCGGGTGGGGGGCAAGTGTCTCACTGTTGTGACGGCCTATGGGCCTGACGGAAGTGCAGAGTACTCGGCCTTCTTGGAGGCCTTGGGAGGTGTGCTGGACGGTGCACCGCCCGGGGACTCCGTTATTCTCCTGGGGGACTTCAACGCCCATATGGGAAACGCCAGTGACACTTGGGGAGGGGTGATCGGGAAGAACGGCCCCCCTGATCTGAACCCGAGCGGTGTTCAGTTGTTGGACTTCTGTGCTAGTCATGGTGTTCGTGATGATGGACAACATCACGAACACCATGTTCGAGCACAAGGGTGTCCACCAGTGCACGTGGCACCAGGACACCCTAGGCCGGAGCTCGATGATCGACTTTGTTGTCGCATCATCTGACCTTCGATCGCGTGTCTCGGACACTCGGGTGAAGAGAGGGGCGGAGCTGTCAACCGATCACCACCTAGTCGTGAGTTGGATCCGCTGGCAGGGGAGACCTGGCAGACCCAAGCGTGTAGTAAGGGTCTGCTGGGAACGTCTCGCTGAGCCCCTGTCAGACGGACTTTCAACTCACACCTCCGGGAGAGCTTCTTCCAGGTCCCGGCGGAGGAGGGGAACATAGAGTCTGAGTGGACCATGTTCTCTTCCTCTATCGCTGAGGCAGCAGCTCGTAGCTGTGGTTGCAAGGTCTCTGGTGCTGGTCCCGGCGGCAACCCACGAACCCGGTGGTGGACACCGGCAGTAAGGGATGCCGTCAGGCTGAAGAAGCAGTTCTATCGAGCCATGATGGTTCGTGGGACTCCTGAGGCAGCTGTCCAGTACCGGCAGGCCAAGCGTGCCGCAGCCCGGGCTGTTGCAGAGGCAAAAACCCGGGACTGGGAGGAGTTCGGAGAGTCCATGGAGCATGACTATCGGTCGGCCTCAAAGAGATTCTGGCAAGCCGTCCGGCGCCTCAGGAGGGGGAAGCAGTTCTTTGCCAACACCGTGTACGGTGCGGGTGGAGAGCTGCTGACCGCGACTGGGGATATTGTCGGACGGTGGAAGGAATACTTCGAGGTTCTCCTCAATCCGCCCGTCACGTCCTCCGTCCCGGAGGCCGAGGCTGAGGATATTGAGGTGGATACTTCTATCTCCCTGGGTGAGGTTACCAAGGTGGTTGGCAGCCTCCATGGTGGCAAGGCTCCGGGAGTGGATGAGATCCGTCCTGACTATCTAAAGTCTCTGGATGTTGTGGGACTGTCTTGGCTGACACGTCTCTGCAACATTGCGTGGCGATCGGGGGAAGGTGCCAATGGACTGGCAGACCGGGGTGGTGGTCCCTCTATACAAGAAGGGGGACCGGAGGGTGTGTTCCAATTATTGTGGGATCACACTCCTCAGCCTCCCTTGTAAGGTCTACTCCAAGGTACTGGAGAGGAGGCTACGGCCGATGGTTGAATCTCGGATTCAGGAGGAGCAGTGTGGTTTTCGTCCCGGCCGTGGAACACTGGACCAGCTCTATACTCTCCATCGGATACTCGAGGGTTCATGGGAGTTCGCCCAACTTGTCCGCATGTTCTTTGTGGATTTGGAGAAGGCGTTCGACCGTGTTCCCCGGGGTATCCTTTGGGGGGTTCTCCGGGAGTACGGGGTCTGGGGTCCTCTGCTGTATGACCGGAGTCAGAGCTGCGTTCGCATTGCCGGCAACGGATGAAGCGGAAGAAAATGGATGGATGGATGAACAATAATTACAAAATACTTTATTCATTAATAAAATATTACAACAATTGCTTCACAGGTTAGTTTTAATTACACACCAAGTTTAGACCTGGTCCAGTCCTGGACCAACAATGCGCTAAAGTATGTAACTTTCTATCTTCCGCTTTGCAAACAACATTGGCCCACAGCAGCCAATCAGGAGCCATTGGGGGAGGGGCAGCTTTAGATTGTATACTTTTCCTAAAAACTAGAACAGAAGAATGTGGTAGTTTTCCTGACAACATTTCATATTGTTATCTGTCGTCCTAGTGGTTGAATAAAGTCAATGCAATCCACCTGCTGGAGTTCAGCTCGAACTGATACAAACTCTAATATGTCGGCTGCTATTTTCTTCATTTGTGAACTTTGTAAATTCAGCTAAATCCAATCAGAGCCTCATTCTGCTCTCTGATTGGATAATCTGCCTGAACATAAATATTAGGGACAATGTATTTTTTATCAAGAATAACTCACCTTTAAACCTTTGTTCATAAATAAATAGATAAATACATGTGACCTGTTCTCTGGGAACTCAAACAAGATGTAGATCTCATTTTAAATTTCAAAAGTCACAAACTTTCATTGGGTTTTGACTCCTATTTATTTATATAGAACAGGTATGAGGACATCAGCTGGAAGAGTCTGGAGTGAATCTGTAAGTGGCCCCCGTGGTGGAGTTGGTTCAGGGCTGGAGTAAGGTAAGAGAACCTTTATTTGTCCCACAGTGGAGAAATTTCAATGTTGCAACGCACAGACAGAACAGTATCAAGAGCACAGAGGGAGCACACAAAAGCTGCTATGTTTCTTTGCTCGTGCTGCATCTACAGTAATTGAGCAGTAGTTGCTTCCATTGTTGTTCCAATGGCATCTCTGCCATCTCATCCTGCAAGGCTGCCACTGGAGTTGACCTCATTGCACCATTGCATTTTCTTAAGGCTTGGCTCTGAACAACATCTTACTCTTTGATGCAGAATTAAACACCACACATCCAAAATCAATCACTGATCTAATAAGCGCAACATAGACCTTCTTAAGGCAGGTTCGGCTTGCTCCCCAATCCCGACCCCGAAACATCTCAATATATTTCAAACTTTTTTACTCTTCTGTACAATCTTTTGAATATGCCCCATTCATGTCACTCTACTGTCAGACCATAATCCTAAATACTTAAACTCATTCACATTTATATTCACTCATATAAATTAATACAGTAGGTCCCACTTCGTTTTGTCGCCTTTCACGTGTGAATCACACGAGACTCACGTGTGATTCACGCGTCTTTTATTTATTTTTTCCCCAGTGATGCTGCAATGACCCAAACAACCACCAGGTGGCACTTGTGAGCAGGGTTAGGAAAATTGGCTTCTCATTGGTCTTTGTTCTCTGTTCACCGGACAACTTTCTGTGGCTTTATAGCTCAATGATAAAGAGGTGGACTCTGGTGTGAGAGGACTCGGGTTCAAGTACAGTCTATGACACTATTGATTTTGTTGACGTTTACATTTTTTCTAAAACATACTTAGTAATTAGGCCAACACATTTAAAATAGTTGCTAGACTGTAGTAAACTGTTGTAAACTTCACAATCTGCACCTACCAAACTGCAGGAAAAAAATGCAACTTTATTCAGTAACGGAGTAATCTGATTCATATACTCCCCCCGCTAATAAAAACTGAGGTTTGGCCGGGGCTCGAACCCCGATTGTTGACAATCCTGCTACACCACACAGGCGCTGGAGAAAACACTGGATCTAATATGAAAGACTGCTGAGTGAATGAGCCGTGCGGATGTGCGGGACGCTTAAAATGCCTTATATGCAAGTTAATGCAAATGTTTGCCATATGATCTGCTACTCCTGTGCATTTTAGAATTCCTAATTAATGGTAGCTATATGTAACATCCATCCATCTTCTTCCCTTTAATCCATTTCTGGGTCAGGGGGGTGGCAATCAGAGATGCCACCCAAGTCTCATAGCACCAGCCCCTCAATGACCCTCTGCAGGTGGTGAGTCCACAGGAGGACGGCTGCTCTCTGAGTGTGAGCATAGCCTTGATCTTTCAGTGGGGGCTTTGGGCAAAGTGGGGTAAAGTGTCTTGCCCAAGGACACAACAACAGCAGTCATCAGTGGGAGTCGGTGGAGAAGGTGCAGAGGTGGGAATTGAACCCACTACCTTCTGGCCTTAAGGCCAATGCTCTACCAACTGAGCTACTGTCGTCCCCCTATATGTAACATGTGTAGTTTAAATTTTTGTATTGCAAATCAAAGTAAAAGTATTCTGAATAATCCGTGTACCCTTCGATCATTAGTTATTCCGTTTCAAAATAAAATCAGAAAAACAAATTTTCCATTCGTTTATTGTTATTTTCCTTTTCTAAATCAAATTGGAAAATCAAATCCTTTATAATCCGTGTACAATCCGTGTACCCTTCGATCATTAGTTATTCCGTTTCAAAACAAAATCAGAAAAACACATTTTCCATTCGTTTATTGGTATTTTCCTTTTCTAAATCAAATTGGAAAATCAAATCCTTTATGCTTCAATATCAATGTGTTTGTTTTGGCTCTAGTTGTTTAAATTCTCAAAAGAATTATGGCATTACTATTATTTCGTTTTATTATTATTTGCGACACCGGAAGAGAGAAGAGACCTCAGATCAGAGCCGCCGTTCAGCAAGTTTTAGGAGATTTTGATGGCTTCCCTCCAGCCTTATACAAATTTAATTAGGAGACTTTTTAAAAATGGGGCAACACATGCAGAGATCAGTGATGCTTTATATTGCCACGGAGCGAATGGTTGCTCAGAAATATCGGTGAGGAGATTCTGCTTGGAAAACGACCTTAGACGTCGAAATCATGTTTCCGACGCAGATCTGGAAACTGCAGTGATCTCTTCAATTCATCAGGTATGTGCAGTATGAACCTACATTATTACGGCCCCGTTCCTTTCAGTAAAACGACTGTAGTAAATGCACACTGCGTAAATGCGCTACTTTTGTAATATGTAAACAAAGTCCTGCCATTTGGTCTGTGATACACAGCCTTTATTTGCGCTTTCCCATACGTACATGGCCTTCTGTGCAGACTGTGACAAGGGCTTTAATATTTGAATTAAAGTCTAGAAACATATGCATATTACAGACAGGCCCGTCATATGGACGAAAGTTTATGACTGGATATTTGACGTCCATTGGAGTACGTGCTGGTGAACGCCGAGTGGGGAGAGTATTGAGAGAGGTGCACCAGCCTTACCACAATTTGCGACAACGTGTAAGTGCCAGATGCAAATGTGTAAGCTTGTCACAAGTGTAAATATTGTGACACAATGTGTTGAGAATGGTGGTATGTATATTTGTTAATATGTATGGTTAATATCTACTTTAAAGGGTGCTCGGAACTTGAATCCCATCCCCTACCATGCAGAATACATGGGACACAAGATTCACCTGGACCAGAATGAAAAGTTGGTGATGTTTGGTGTCACCCATGTTGTGGCAGTGGATGGCTACAGCTCAAAAATTGTTGCATATGCCACAATGCCTGTTAAAAATAACCTCACTATTTATGAAGAAGTGTACAGGTTGGTAAAACTATGCTTAGCATGTAGACTCTGAAACCCCTTATGTCCCACTCTTCTTTTCACTGTGACTCATCTATCTTTGTACTCACTCACCTTTCTCTCACCTGTACCTGCATCCCAAAGAGTGAGCTGTTTGTGGCACACTCCTTTGAATTTTCTTTGGACCTCACTCTCTTACACACATTTTCTCTATTCTCTACTGTTTGGTAAGCTAGTAATATGTTTTTATTTTTATTTTTTTTGATAGACCTGCAGTGGCGACACATGGTATGTGGGATCAAGTGCGTGTGGACCATGGGAAGGAGTTTTACCTATGCCTGTATATGCAGGAAATCCTTTCCAAATACCGCTTCAATGTTAGTCGGCAGCCCTATGCCCAGACTACGTCAACCAAGGTACTTACTATACTCTTGTCATTCATTGATTGGCTGTATTATGACAGACACAGTACTAGGGCGGAGTAATTCATTGCAAATTTGTTATCTAAGTTAGGTGCTCTAACATTACATGTAATTATGAAATTATAAGTAGTGACTTCTTAATTTTAATGTAAATAATAATGTTTAATCTAACTTATTAGCAGCAAAAAAGTTTCAAAAAGTGGTAATCTAGATTTAATGATATATTATTTATAAGCAAGTCCATGACCACTTTTTAAAACCTTTTCTTATTCAGCTTGCATGTAAAGGAACATACACACTCACTATTTTTCTTTTGTTCCTTGTAGAATCTTAGGGTAGAGCGAATTTGGCCGGAGGTGAACAACCGTGTGAATTATCCATTGAAAGCGGCTTTAGTACACCTCGTGGACCAGGAAACCCTGGACATGCAGGATGACCGCATCAAATTTTGTGTGTCAAACTTAACCTGTCTTCTCAGCCAGATTGGCTTACAGCGAGTTGTAAATGCATGGAATGCACACAGGATTCCAGGTAAGCAACCATGATAACTTATGGTTCCCTAAAGTCAAATTTGACTTGCACACATAGTACACTATTATAGTACAATTATGGAGCTTGAAAAACTAGTGAAATGTTACAGGTCCCTTTACTAAACACTTGCATAAATAAATCTAAATTTTACTTATTGAAAACTAATCTATAAAATATGACTTCATGTAGGACTTCTTTAAACAACATAAGCAAAGAATAATGAACAAAATGAACTAATAAGACTTAATACAAAAACATACATTTAAATGATTATAAATGACAGAACAAACACACAACCCAACTCTCTGCACACACGCATGTGTTCAGGTAGGAGGGTTTGATGGAGAAGTGGGTGGTCAAGGGCTGTAGATTAAAACTACTACATTTGAACTCCCCATGCAGGTTCCTGTTAAAATTTTTATGTCTGTGTTCTTCTTGTTTGAAGATCACAGTTAGTGCAATATAATTCTGTGGCCCTATGCATAAACCTGATATACACATGAATGTTAATCAAAACTGAGGTTAAAAGTAACACTATGTTCATTAATGAAATGTATTCAAGTATTTCTGGTCTATCAGGTTCATGCATGGGGCCACAGAATTGCCTTTTCGATCATGGCAATTAATCGTATAAATGTTTTATTTCTAGGACGAGGAGTACCTAATGATTTGGCGTCTGGAGGAAGTTCTGCCAAAATTGCACAAGACCTTTTGCCCAGTGCCTCTGTTGCTGCTGCTCACTATGAACAGGATTTGGGCTCTTCCTTAACAACTGAATCAGTCTTTGGTGTAGACCCATTTCAAAATGAAATGGACAGGATTCATGCTGAAGAGGACTTTAGGGTCGCTTACCCAGATTTGTCTGTTATTGTTGACAATGTTGCTAATTTCGAATATACAGATTTTAATGAAGCACTTTTTTGCTTGCTCCGTGCAACTGAAAGGCATACTTAAGTAGGCGGGTAGTATTTTATAAGTATGTGTACAGTACACAATAAAAAATGTACTTCAGTAAATGTCAATGTTGTAAAAGCTGCATGTTCACATAAAATAGATTTAGTTTGTTAAATGTACCTTATATTCTTCAGAATTAAAAAATGTATGGAACCGTCTTTGAGTATGAAAGTAAATTTGAAACGCTGATACTCGTATTTTTACATACTTTAAGCTCAGTCATAGTTTACTTATTGTAGAAACAGGTTTGAGTCATTCGTAGTGAAATGTCCCACATTGTACTAGTACAGATGCCTCAAGAACTTTTATATCTGTACTAAAGTAAATTAATTGAATACTTCTTCCTTCAACAGACTCACTGGGAAAATATCCAAATGTGTTAATACACTATAGTAACTGAATTGTGTTAAAATACACAGGATTTACAGCCATGAATTGAAATGTATTTATATCAAATGTTAGAACATTGGTAACAAAACTGGCATAACTTAAGAATACTCTATACAAGCATTTTCCCAACACCTCAGTAAAAGAAAATTGTAATAGGTGTAACAAGGGGGGAATAAAAAATATACAATCACATAATAAAAAGTGATCATGATAAATGTGGATTAATATGGTATACTTAGTATTGCACATATCCCCAAACATAATGTAAACTTGGTAAAAACATTTTGAACATTTAAAGGGATATTTCAGGATTTTTGACACAGGGCTTCATTTCCTAATTATCCAGTGTTGTTGATTTCTGGGGATTTTTTTTTCTTCTTAAATTCATGCAGTTCTTATATTTGAAGAGTCTGGTGGTGCTAGGCTAGGGCTAGGCCAAAGCATTTCTATGGTATCAGTTAGCCTGCATTAAAACAAGTCTGACCCACTCCACAGTGCACCTGAGGAAATCACTTATAACGCCACACTAACCATATAAAGGTCTGTCGATAGAATAATTTGAACAATTTTGCATTTAAAATAACATTTGAGCAGCATCAGCTTTGTGGTTGTAAGCTAACGCAACGGAGCGATCTGCCAGAAAATAGTCCCTCAAAATGCGGTATTGCATGCGATACAATTTCCAGCACTTTAATAAATGTAGTTTTACCTTTGTAACATCTTTGGTCCAGCTGCTTTTGAAGCCTGAAAACCTGCTGGACTAGTGGTACTACTAGCACTGAATGGGCGGCGAAAAGCAAAGCGGGCAGGAGTTTGCTGGTTGGAGGTAGATGGGGGGCCTTCACCAGGTTCTCCATCATTTGTGCTTTCGCCGTACACTTCATAGTGGCCACCACCCAGTAGCTCCAGGTTGTCAAATGCACCGCCCTGATCGGGCAATATTACCTTGTTGTGGTCGTCAATCAAATAAACGGTGTCAGCACGGACCTATTCGCAAACATAGAAGGGTGTAATTAAGTTATGATTATATAGATACTTGCAATGTGTGCTGATGCAAAGCAGACTTCTGTCTTTTTTCATTTTTAAAACTACTAAAATTCAACAATGTTCCGTACTTAACTTGTTTTTAAATCATACATAGTTCCAAGCTTAAATTGTGCTAATTACACGTGCCGCCGATAAATCCATGGCCGGCACGTGTACGCGTAAAAGTGTCTTCTCCAAATAAACATAGTTAAAAACAACTCACCTGAAATATCATGGCAATTTTGTTGGTGGTAACGTCATCTGGACTAAAAGAAATCCGTCTACCGCGTCTGAATAAAACTTGATTATCCATTTTGCTTGTCGCGCGAGTTGTTGTCTTGTAGTTGTTTCCGCCTCTCACCACTCATCATTTCCGGTAGCATATCAAACAAAATAATGGAAGTTGTTTTAGTTGTGTTTGTTTCCACTGCATAACAAAGAAATGGGTGAATATTTCATTTAGAATGTTTTGATTTTCCAATTTGATTTAGAAAAGGAAAATACCAATAAACGAATGGAACATTTGTTTTTCTGATTTTGTTTTGAAACGGAATAACTAATGATCGAAGGGTACACGGATTGTGTACAATAATCCGTGTACCCTTCGATCATTAGTTATTCCGTTTCAAAACAAAATCAGAAAAACAAATTACGTGGTTGTTTTATTGTATTTCCATTTTCTAAATTAAATTGGAAAATCAAAACATTCTAAATGAAATATTCACCCATTTCTTTGTTATGCAGTGGAAACAAACACTACTAAAACAACTTCCATTATTTTGTTTGATATGCTACCGGAAATGATGAGTGGTGAGAGACGGAAACAACTGCAAGCTGCACTCAACTCAACTACACGACAACAACTCGCGCTGTTGTTGAGCTCGCCCCCAGGCCCGAGCTCCAGGGGCAAAATGCTTACAGCACCTGGTATTCCCAGGCGGTCTCCCATCCAAGTACTATGGGGAAAACTTTGTGCACGCTGCTCTCAAACAGAGAGAGCCGGCTTTCTCCATGCATTCTGGATTACACACGCACTCGGTAAGTCTCCTCTGATAAACACAATGTTTTTGTGCTCGTTCTTTATGTTTCACTTCATAAATCTCTCATATTGTGCGTAGATCGTTCACACACGTCTGTAGTTTAAATCTCGAGTGTGTAGTGCGCTGTTTATGATTGCTTACCTCCGTGTCATATGTTTGTTGCTGCTGCTGCTGCTGCTGCTCGTAGATCTCTCTGTTTGGATCAATATTGTAAAGAAAACACTTTCTCTGCGTTGTCAAACAATCTGTATTCACTGTATTCTACTGTATACAGTAATGCAGTTTGTTTACGTCTGGTTGTAGTAGTATTTCCAGCGCTAGCTAATTATTGTTGATGTCTGTACTATCTATATGTATTTCGCATTTCTATAGTTCAGCAACACATTGAGTTGAAAATGAATTATATGCAGTTAGTTTACGACAATGTATTAGTGTTTTACCAGTTCATATTTTCCTTCTATAACTGTACTTACTGTATCCCAGAGCCTCATGCTGCTAATGTCCAGATGTAAACATACAACTGTATATGTCTTCTCTAGATTATACAGGATTCATGCTTCTTTATAATGCTAAATTTAATTATTTTATTCTTTATTATGCTAAAGATATATACATTATACATACTTCTCTATCATGCTATAGCTAGATATTTTATGATCTTTTTTTGTTGTTGCAGACAATATGAAGACATTTTCATTCTTTCCTGGCCGCGTCACTGTGATTTTTCGCAAGGGCCCACGTGGATTCCTGCTGCAGGACCCTTCGGAGGAGGCGAGGAAGATCAGGGACGACCCGTCCATGAGGGAGTGCGGTGCTCCTCTGAGGGAGGAGGTGGTGAGGGAGAACGCCCTCACTCTGGTGGGAGTGAGAGGAGGTGATGCCTCAGACAAGGCTGAAGTGCTGGGGGAGTACATCGCTCACAGCTAGCAGTAAGACCAGCACAGTGCCTGCTGTCACTCTAATGTCACTGCTGTCTGAGGAGGCCATAGAGAAGGTTGTGCAGCGGATCTTGGAAAAGCAGCAGCAGCCTCCAGCAAATAAACCCCACACAAAGAAATGTCTGTCTTGTGGCCAGCCAAAATCCAAATATGAGGGCGATGGCAGCTCCATCCACGAGTTTTACCAGCAGGGTCCTACCAGGTATTTCTATTGCTCCACCAAGGTCTATAACACCTATCGCACAGAGGGTTTGACCAACTCCAGGATGCCATTCCGAGACTTTATGGACACTGAGTTCTACCAGAGAGAGCTGGAGGCCACGCAGCAGAGAGTGAATGAGTGGCAGGAGAAGAAAAGGAAGAGAGATGAGTCTCCTGCCACTGGGAGAAAGTGCGGGTTCTGCAAACTGCAGCTGAAGCAGGGACCAAACAGTCCTCACATTCATACACAATTCCCTGGTCTGTCAGGAAAATACATCTACTGCCCTGCCAAAGTATTCTCCCTGTACAAGGACCAGGGGATGGAGACGCAGATGTTCCAGCAGTCTCCTTTTTATGACCGGGAGAGGGAAAGGTGGCGTGTAAATAAATGAGCTATCTGCTGTCTATTGGTGCTATTGTATGTAGTTACTATATTATACCTGTCTGTTCATAAATGTTTATAAATATTCTAATTATTATGTAAATATATACTTAATATTGATTATATCTAATTATATAATTTCATTTGTAAAGTCTGCATCTACAGTTCTGTATAGTCAGCTCTCAGCCGTCACAGTCACAGGGCTCATCACACAAATACTAGTTTAAGAAGATAAAGATAGCATGTTGTTGTTTTTCTTCTAAGTGTATTTCTTAAATTTGTAAATATCTCTTTTTTCATCTGTTCACAATAAATATATTATAATGTCATACATTATTGAAGTCTTTCTTTTTATTGATCATATTTCAGGGCAAACAGTAGTATTTGACAAAACAATTTGTATAGAAAATAGAGTTCAGTGCCAATCAACGATATGCCCAATACGCGGCTGGCCCCCGCGGCCCGACCTTGCCTAGCTTCCGAGATCAGACGAGATCGGGCATTCTCAAGGTGGTATGGCCGTAAGCACGGGGGTATGGAGCAGCATGCCTCCTGACCCTGCTGCTGCGGTCCTCTCCTCCCCCAGAATGAGCGCTCAGGCCTGGGTCTGAGCGGGAGCAAAGCCCTCCCTGGTGATAGTCCAGAACCGGAGGAGTGCGTGGGTGAAAACCCCGTGTCTCTAGCACCCCTGGTTCGTTTTTGACAAGCCCTGGAAGCCGAGGTTTTCCTCCCCCAAAATGAGCGCTCTTGGGCGGATGGTAGACGCGGTCCCCCGGTGGTTTCCAAGGGCCATAACTTTCTGGTCCTTTATCCCCCGCGCGTCAAATTCACACCGCGGGTAGGACCAGGGGAGTCCCACCCCCGCGTCTGTAGCCCCCCTTCCGCGAGGTCTCTTCTCTCTTCCGGTGTCGCAAATAATAATAAAACGAAATAATAGTAATGCCATAATTCTTTTGAGAATTTTAAACAACTAGAGCCAAAACAAACACATTGATATTGAAGCATAAAGGATTTGATTTTCCAATTTGATTTAGTAAACGAAAATACCAATAAACGAATGGAAAATTTGTTTTTCTGATTTTATTTTGAAACGGAATAACTAATGATCGAAGGGTACACGGATTGTACACGGATTATATTGAAGCATAAAGGATTTATTTTTTAATTCAAGTTTAGAAAAGGAAAAGAACAATAAACAAATTGAAATTTTGATTTTCTGATTTTATTTTGAAACAGAATAACTAATGATTGAAGGGTACACGGATTGTTTTGTTTTCTGTGGATCCAATTATAATGAAAATGTAGTAAACCAATAATGACCGTCTAAATTATATTTTGCGATTTTCCTTTGAAACACAAGAGTCCCCCGGAAGTGATTCGCAAGTGCGCGTTTGTCACAGAACAGGAAGTGTCGCCTCCAGGTACTTGAATCCAGTGGCGGCTTGTCAATAGGGGGCGCTCGGGCACCGCCCTCATCAAAATCTCATAAAGAATTAATACACACAGTAAACATAAATTATGTAATAAAAAGTCATTACCACATCTGTTCAGTGTTCACTCATACAATGGTTACTTTTATTTTTGTAAGCCTTTCCATTCCATATCAGATTTATTTTGGGTTGTTTTATTAGTTTTTAATATCAAGGGGCGCAGGCCAAATGAGTGTGTACGTGTCTTCCAAACTTGCGGCTACCATGTGACTTCATGCTGGTCTCTAATTGGTCACTTAAAGATTCTCCTCGGGGCGCAGAGAGCTGTGTCCCTGGCGAATCAGCGCGCTTGGCTAATTTTTCTTGCAATCTGATTGATTCATGATACCTGGCTGTCAGTCAAAGTCACTGGCAACGCGCTTGTCACTCCAACATAGACACTCCCGCGTGCGGGTTTACGGAGGCGAAGAAGCGAGACAGACGTACAACAAAACAGCAGATATGGCCAAAGAAAATTCGGTTGTTTCTTTACAACTCAGTCCTTTTACGAGACGTTCGCTGGAGGAAAAAAAAAGGATTAAGGAGCTTGGACCGGAGAAACCCGGCTTACAGATCCAGCAGCAGGCAAGTGACCGTGGGCGAAGTTACACCCGAGGCTTCTCCGGTCTGTGTTATGCTAAACACAGTTGGCTCGCTGGATGCGAAGTAAGCAATGCTCTTTTTTGCTTTCCCTGCTTGCTTTTTCAAAGTGTTGGCACGGAAGTGTTGTGGACAACAACAGGCGTCAGAGACCTGAAACATCTCTCTGAAAAATGCAAACGGCATGAAAGTAGCCGTTGCCACATTGACAACAGTATGAAGCTACAGTTTTTTGGCCGCGTTAGCATTGCTGAACAATTAGACGAGGGCTACAGAGTTGGCATTAGAAGGCACAACGAAGAGGTGACAAAATCGTCATGTTCTGTCCAGGATAATCGACTGTGTGAAATTCTGTGGGGCCTTTGAGTTGGCTTTACGTGGCCACGATGAGAGTGAGAGCTCTGTGAACCCTGGGATATTTCGTGGATTGGTCGATTTTGTTGCCTCTCTGGATGGAGCTTTGAAAGAGCACCTTGAGACTGCCACTGTTTTCAAGGGTACTTCCAAAACTGTCCAAAATGAACTCTTGGACTGTATGTTGTCTGTTGCAAGAGAGCAAATCATTGAAGCTCAAAAGAGTGTTTTTGTATCAATCCAGGCAGATGAGACAACAGATATTTCAACACAGTCCCAACTTGTGCTTGTACTACGCTACATTGATGACAAGCACAGTGTGCAGGAAAGATTTTTTGAGTTCATTCCTCTGCAGTCAGCTACATCTGAGTCCATTGCTGCTGCATTATCAGAGCGTCTTGCTGCCATCATTCCTGAGGATCAGAAAAGCAAGCTAATCTGCCAGGCGTATGATGGAGCCAGTGTGATGAGGGGTGCCAATGCAGGTGTTCAGAGGAAGATCAAAGATGTGTACCCAAATGCCCATTATATCCACTGCTATGCACACCAACTCAACCTGATCATGCAACAGGCCACCTCTCACATTTCCAAGGTGAGAATTTTTTTTTCTGACCTGGGTGGATTTGCGAGCTTTTTTTCCAGGTCACCCAAGCGTACGGCTGTCCTTGATAAAACGGTGGCCCGTAGACTGCCAACATCCAGCAATGTCCGATGGAACTTTCACAGCCAAGCCATCAACACTGTGTTTGAGCAGAGAGATGATCTCATTCAATGTTTTGAGAACATACGAGATTCGGGTGACTTTGACTCCAACACCATCAGAGAGGCAGGAGCCATGGCCATGCTGCTGGAACATCAGGACTTTAAGTTCTTCCTGGAACTTTTTCACCACATCATGCCACTTGTGGACCTCCTCTATGCCAAGCTCCAGAAGAAGAACATAGATGCAGTCCACATCAAAAGGAGCATCCAGCAGTTCGAACAGGACATACAAAACATCAGGTAATATGTCAATATAATCACATTCTTAATTGTTATCTCTTTTCAACAATATAGCTGAAATAGCTATTTAAATACCATTTTAAATATGTCATGTTACAGAGATGATTTAGTTCATCTCCTAATCACAATTAACCTAAATGTTTAATGAAAATATTAAAAATCATATCACAATTGCAGTTGTCAATAATAGCAAGATGTTTTTTCAAAACCATGCAGCAACAGAGGGTAACAATGTCAACAAAAGTAAATTAATTTAATATCTATTTTTTCTCTCCGTTTTTGTATTCTCTCTGTAGATCTGCAACACCATTCTGAGACACACCAGGGAGCGCTTCAACTTCACCGGCCATCTTGTCTGTGCCACCTTGTTGCAGGGGGACAGGTTTGAGGAACATCACGGGTCATTTCCCGAAGAGGTGCTGCAAAGCACTTTGAAGGCCTACCCAATGCTGAATGGAAGCAAGCTCAAGACAGAGCTCAGTCTCATCTACAGCAAAGCAGAGTTCAGAGCCTGTTGTGGTGCAGTGGACCTGTTCCAGCTGTTCATGGAGAACAATCTTCAAGATGTTTTTTCAGAAACGGTCACTCTTTTAAAGATCCTTATTACCACACCTATGACCACAGCTGAAGCAGAGAGGTGCTTCTCAACCTTAAAAAGGGTGAAAACTTTTCTGAGAAACACCATGACCCAGGAAAGGCTGAATGCCCTGGCCATGCTCTCAATGGAAAAGAGACTAATCTGTCAAATGACCAATTTCAATCAGAGTCATTGAAAGATTTGCTAGCCTGAAAGAGAGGAGAGCAAAATTTATGTTCAAGTAGTTTATTGTTGCTAGTAGATTAATGTTATAAATTGTTTAATGTTATAAATTGTTTATTGTTATAGATTTATTGTTGCTAGTAGTTTAATGTTATAAATAGCTTAATGTTATAGTTTTATTGTAAATAGTTTATTGTTGCTAGTAGTTTAATGTTATAGTTTATTGTTGTAAATAGTTTGTTGTAAATAGTTTGTCCATCACTAAATCTGTTAACCTTTCACCTGTCTGCCTCCTTCCATTCCTCCCTGCCTTTGGGTCCACATCAACACACCACCGTGACAGCAAGTAGTTTATTGTTGCCAGTGCGCCCCCCCAAATTTTTTTAACACCAGCCGCCACTGCTTGAATCGCACCTTGTTAGCGTTGGTTGTAGGAGAAATGGCTCTTAATACCCTCCTCAACATCAGTCAGATTACCAGCTTTTTCGTTTGCTGCTGCAGAGACAATCGCAGATGAGAATTCGCAGACAGATTGACGAGAGAAGGGGTTCTTTAATGAAAAATATATACACAAGTGTCAAGGTAAGACATAACTTAGCAACTAGCGCTAAGTTAGCATTAGCTTACACTTACACATGTAACAAATGCACCTAATTTGGGTGCTTTATTATTATAAAGGTATGTTATAGACTTTTGTTGCATATAAGAACATGATATGTTTGTATTGGTGAAAGTAAACATGCTAAATGTTAGTTAATTAAAGATGATGCTAGATGTACCTTGACCATTCAATTGTGCTTTGTTTCTGCTTCATTCTCAAATATTGTCGAGGGACAGTGGTTAGAGAGAGATGCTTCAGGCTTATGAAGAGAAACGAGGAGCCCTCAGACTGCAGGTTCGAAACAGACTGCAGTTGTCACGGGTTAACTCATTGTGTCCCATTGACGCACAAATACGTCAAAGCAAATAGTAACGTCGTGTGCCATTGACGCATTAATCCGTCAATTGCCTTTTTTGCTATTTTCACGTTCCCAGATGTCTATTGTATCTAATATGTATGGGGATGACTTGAGACCATATTTTATCGAGCCAGCAGGTGGCAGCATTGCTCTCTGAATGGTTTGAAAACATGTAGGTGCACATGTTGTGCCTCTTTTTTCTCAACTTTCTGGTGATTTCTGGTGATTTCAGTAAAACTTCCCTCTACTCGACGGAGGATTACAGGGGAACGAAAAAAGCTATAAACAAAATTCTTTTTGCTGAGGAAAGTAGACAGTCCATTCTTTTAGAATCTGGTGTCGGATTTCAGATAGTCATAGTACACAATATTCTGTGGGTCTTGAAAAATCTGTAAAAATCATCAGAAATGGCTGGCACTGTGGGAGTACCTGTTCTGAAATAGGCTGGCATTCAATGAGTTGTTAAGGAGGAAGACTCAAATGCAGAAAACAAAAAAGTTCATTTACAAAAAATGGATCAAAATAAATAATGCAGGAGACAGACGGAGGTGGACCAAGGGGCTGGAGTGGAGATTGGACAGGTAAGTTGAAGGTTTGGAAGTTTGGAGATAAATAATCATGAAATACCAGGCGGGCAGACAGATCAGATCTTGGCAGGGCAGACAGGCAAACAGGTAAGTTGACGACAGGCAGGCAGGCAGGCAGGAACTGGATACCAAAAACTGAGGTAAGTACAAAAATGTTGAAAAATGAAAAACGAGAGCCAAACTATTACTGACATGAGTGTCACAAACAAACTGGCAGAGTCCTGCTGGAAAGCCATTGCTTTTGAACTGTCTTGATTGAAGATTGCAGCCAGCTGTGCTGCCCTGCACTCTGGAGCTGCCACACCCATGAAGGTGGACACACACACACACACAGAGGGGAGGGGTAGAGGAGAACAGGACAAAAGGTATAGAAGCCAAACTGTGACAGCAGGTTTGAAACAGTCAGAAAGACTGCAGGTTCGAAACAGTCAGAAAGACTGCAGGTTTGAATCAGTCAGAAAGCCACTGGGCTCATGTTCAGTTTGAGTTCCTGTCCTGATAGATGACTAGCATAGCATCTTTCTGTTTGGCCGTTACTATTTCTCTTCTGCTGACTTTATAAGATAGTTAAGTTATAACAAGTAATAATTATATGTCTCTTCTAAACCCACTTTTCTGTTTTAGATCTCACTGGGCGTGCAGCAGGTAAAGGTTTCAGACTTCACACTACTCCCAGCCCTGGCCTGTATCAGTGATCTGCAAAGCTCTCCAGCTGGTCCTGACTGATGTGTTTATGTCAATGCAATAAAATTAATAATAACTGATCTACAAATCTCCTTTTTGTTCCTTTGCTTTTGAAACTTTGATCCCGTGTTTATCATTGTAAATGTATGTTACAAAATTAGAATCAATGCATTGCATGAAAAAGCACATACTCCTCAGTGTCCATTATGTTGTCACATTTGAAAGTGTAAAAACTGTTCTTAAATCCAGTTGTCTTGGTCTTAATGGGCATTACACATGCAATGACCTCACAGACAATGGATTATGCACAGATAGAGACAAACTGTATGGTCAATCTAAAGGCGCGTTCAGACCAAAAGCTTCAAAAAGCTTTTGACGCGCGTCAGCTGACGCCGGGTTATTTTTGTCATTTTGGTGCTTGAAGCTTTTGACGCGAGTGACGCGCCTGACGCGCCTGACGCTGGTGGGAGGAGCTTCTCTGTTGCCGGTGTAGTCCAGAGAAGATGGCGGATTTCCGAAGAGCAGCTTGCCTTTATTTGTTGTTCAAATCCATACAACGTCGTCGTAGGGCTTCTACACAACGTGTATGGGTTCACAGCATACTTCAGAGGCGTGCAGTGTTTGGCGAGTTTCACCATTTACTCCAGGAGCTGCGTATGGACGAGGCTCGCTTTCAGCGGTACTTCCGAATGTCAGTAGCCCAGTTTGATGACCTGCTCACCCGCATCGGAGCTCGCATCGCCCGCATGGACACCAACTACAGGCGCTCGATTCCAGCGGAAGAGCGCCTGTCTATCTGTCTGAGGTTAGTGAGAATTTTCTGATAAAATATCTACAAATACAATAGGAAATAGCGTCCCTAGCATGGATCACGGAGCGAGAGATAGGAGCAGCCAAAAGCAGTAGTTAAACGTTGAATATACGTTTTAATTAGGACATAAAAGTTAATTGTAATAACATTTCAGGCGGGAAATATACCCCACTAATGTCATATCAGAGGTCTGTTTGGTGATTAAATAGATATTTAAATTTTTGTCGGACTTTTTCCCTCCAGCGCGGAGCTCCAATGCTAACCGGCTAACCACGGGTGTTGAGCGGCGCTGAACACCCGTGAACCCAAGGAGGCTTTTGTTACAGACTTTCTCTGTTATAACGATTGTATTTAGAGTAATCATTAATACAATTGATATATTTGCTATGGCCCTCGTTTGTGCATTTGAAGTCATTTTGAAGGTGCATTGTGTCACTGTAGTGAAGTTATTAGAAAACTGATCAATTAAATCAGCATTGTCTGCTACTTAGTACTTAATATATTCAGATTCCCAAGTGATTAACCCCCCTGTGATTTCACAAGAGAGGGTACATTTCCATTGTTGGTGCAATTCCTGAAAACAAATTTACACAATCATATTGTATGATTAATTTAAAATATTTTTGTATATTGCTGAGTCGTATTTGTATCATTGTAGGTTTCTTGCTACTGGGGACTCCTTCAGGACCATAGCAAGCAGCTTCAGGGTGGGCATCTCCACCATCTCCAGCATCATCCCAGATGTGGTGGCAGCCATCTGGGACGGCCTGGTGGAGGAGTTCATGCCTGTGCCTGGAGAAGAGGAGTGGAGGTTGTCTGCTATGGAGTTTGAGGAGCGGTGGAACTTCCCTCTTTGTTGTGGTGCTATAGATGGGAAGCACATCAACCTCAAGGCACCCCCCAACTCAGGCTCCCTGTACTTCAACTACAAGGGTAGGCACTCCTTGGTCCTCCTTGCTATTGTAGATGCCAACTACAAGTTCAGGGTGATTGACGTAGGGGGCTATGGCAGAACCAGCGATGGAGGGATCCTGGCCAACTCCACCTTCGGTCAGGCTCTGCATGCGGGAACACTTCCTCTGCCAGCTGACCGGCATCTCCCTGGAGCAGAGCACCGAGGCCCCCTGCCCCATGTCTTTGTGGCAGATGAGGCCTTCCCACTGCGGAGGAACTTAATGCGGCCTTTTCCAGGAAGTGGCGGCGCTAATCCTGGACAGCGCATTTTTAATTACCGCCTCTCCCGAGCCCGGCTGGTGGTGGAGGATGCGTTTGGCATTTGGTCATCGCAGTGGAGGATGTTTCGTCGGGACCTCGAGATCCGGCCAGAAGTTGTGGAGAAGTGCGTGAAGGCCACATGTGTTCTCCACAATTTCCTGAGGGTGTCTGCTCCGGTCCCAGTCCTGAGAGGAGCTGCAGCGCAGGGAGATGACTGTCTTCCAGGTGTCGGGAGGATGGGTGCCAACAACGCCACCAGAGAGGCACTGCAGGCGAGGGAGGCGTTCATGGCCCACTTCTGTGGGGAGGGGGCAGTAGCATGGCAGCCGACAGAGTAGTCAGATCCTCACGGGACTGACCCAAAACGGTTCTTTTAAGAGCCACCCATGAAAACTAAAGAGCATTTCTTCTTTAATAATATTTGAGTGTCTGTATTTGCCAATGCATTACTTTTGAATATCAGGACACAAATACTACAACATCCTGATCATGAATTCTAGTCTTGGATAAAGACCATGTCTATGTTTATCCAGTATGTTTTTGAACCATTCACCTGTGCCCTTCTTGTTTGCAGGTAATAGTTCCAGATTCTGCAGCTGTCTCCGACTTCACAACATGTTCAAGCATGGCCTCAATTACAAGTTTGTCCAAACAGGATATGCTGAAATTAATTATGTCAACTAATTTCTATTGTCTCATATTTGGTGATAACGTGTTTACGAGTAAAGTTCTCCTTAATTGAAGTATTTGAAATTAGTGATATTTAACTTATTTGAACACATACCTTAATGAAAAACCTGTACATATTTAAAGTAGCAGACCAAATCTTAAGTTATAAATTTTTTAATGAAATATGTAAAAACAAATATATACACAAAAAAGAACAGGAACAGGAATAAAAAGGACCTTGCTTGGAGGAGGAGGAGGAGTGCAGGAAGGAGAAGAGTCTGTTTCCTCCCCTGCAAAAGAAGCCACCTCATAGCTAAACACTACTACTAAGTGTGCTCCAATTGTTCCACATTAAGCGTAAATGCGCTGCTCTCATAAAGTAATTTATGAATTTGGAATTTGACAAATTCTAAAGATTGAGGTGGCACCTTATCCAGGAGAGGAAGCAGAGATTGGAGGAAGAGCTCATTTTGTGATGGAGCTGGAGCTGCAGTCTGCCGCAGGAGGGCCATCAGCTCCAGCTCCAAGCGCGATAGCTCCTGGGCGGAGGTGTCCTGGGTGGTGCGCTTCCTCGCTCTCTTCCTTTGTGGACCTGCAAACACCACAAGACAATGGCTTTAAAAATATAAAGTCATGAGTATGTAGGATCTGATAATCTATGAACAACTTTTAAATCCTTTTCTTATGTTAAATAAAATAACTAGATCCTATGTAAAAACAGTATTCGATTTGTATATTTCACTTTTTGATGCCCACATATTCAAAAGTATTTGTGAAATGTTTAATATAACGTTTATACATTCACAACAATAAAATTGATTTCCTACACACCTGTAGGTGCAGCAGCAGGGGAACGACCGGCAGCAGAGGAAGAACCAGCAGCAGAGGACGGTCCAGGAGCCGAGGACGGTCCAGGAGCCGAGGACGGTCCAGGAGCCGAGGACGGTCCCGGAGCCGAGAACGGTCCAGAGGCCGAGGACGGTCCAGCACTCGGCTCTGTCTCTGAACTTGACTCCGTATCAGCGTCATCTGTTATTAAATAAATTACTTTCACTTCACAGCACGTGTACAATCATTTTAAGAACGTTAATACTCATATAAATAACCTTGCTATAAACAATAATGACAACAAAACAGTTTAGTGGGCAGCTGCATGACTTCTTTCCATACATTGTTTTAGCTACACACCTACATCTGACATTAGTTTACAGCATATGTACATTTATTTTGCCAGTTGCTTATTAAGAACGTTAATACTCATAAATAACCTTGCTATAAACAATGACAACAAAACAGTTTAGTGGGCAGCTGCATGACTTCATTCAATACATTGTTTTAGCTACAGACCTCCTGCAACTGACACCTCCGCTGCTGCTGGTTCTTCCTCTTGGAGGTGGCTGTCCCCCCTCTCCTCCTCGGCCCTGTGTGCTGTCATGTTACCAGTAGATGGCCTCGGTGTTACGTAGGGCTCGAGGAAGGAGAGCGATGCCAAGTACCTCCACCTCTGCACTGTCCCTGCTGCTGCTGCACCACTGCGCCTCCTCTCTTTCTCCTTCCTGCACTCCCTCATGAACCTGTCCCTCAGGCTTTTCCACCTCTTTTTGATTTCTTTCTCTATATGAACAAATGGACTTGTGAGCGGGAACAGAAATCATAGCGACTGTACATTGTACGACTCCTGACCGGAGTTTACTAAACATGGAATACAGATATGAATTCTTTACATAACTTACCATCGTACCCGATCTCCTCGCTTATCCTCCTCCAAGCAAGGTCCTTTTTATTCCTGTCCCTGTATAGCGGGCTGGAAACAGCGTAAAGCTCTGGGCGAGAGCTAATCGCCACGATTAAGCTCTCCTCCATGTTCTCGAATATGATTTTGTTTCCCGCTTCCACCGGCTTCATCGTAGAGCGACCCTGTCTCCTGATTGGTTGAAGCCCGCGTCAAAGCTTCAAAAGCTCAGCTTTGCTCAGCTTCGGCGTCAAAGGGATTGTTGTGATACGCGAGCGATTCGCGCGTCAAAAGCTTCAAGTGAGCGCGTATTACGCGCGACCTTTGAAGCTTTTGACGCGCGCCAAGTGACGCCGGGGCTCTCGGCTTCACCTGACGCGCTTCACCATTCACTTTCAATGCAAACCTGACGCTTTTGACGCCGAAGTTAAGTCCGGTGTGAACGCCCATTTGTTGAACCAGGAAGTGCTGTCACTTCCTCCTCTCAGGCAGTTTGGGATGGATGTACTCATCATTAATCAAATTGGTATTATTCTTACAAGAGCTAATCTAGTTTAGCAGGTTTGGGGTTGGGGTCTACAATGGTGCTTGATTCTCTAATCTGTGCTGGCGAATCAACAGCTTTTTAAACTTCTCAATATCTAAATATCTACTATTTTGTTTTTGGGCTATACTCAAATACATCAAAATGCTTTTAAATGCTTTTAAATCTCTGTTGGTTGTAATCTATCTCATTAATCTAGGCTACATTAGTCTAGGCTACACTCATCAAGGCATTAATCGAGGCTACACTCAAACTTTTTGCATTGTCAACATTCACAGGTGAATTTGGCAGTATCTAATAAAACTGTGCATAAAACTGCAATGAACTTTATCTACTTTTGAAGTAAATGCTTGTGAAATGGTCCCTTTGCCATTTGATATTAGTGTGGGCATAGTGAATATTAGACTCCCCCGATTTATTTTTTATTTCATACTGTTTGTTATATATATATTTTCTTTCATTTCATATAATTATTCTCAGTTAAAAGTCATAAATATGGTAAAAATGTATTAGATCGCTTTAGTGTAGTTCCTGCTCCCGGCCACAAGGCGGCGCCACTCCACCTGTACCTCGTGTCTGTACCCAGAGTCGCAGTTCTGCATGAGTACAGCAGAAAACACAGCAGACACGCGAGTTAACGCAATGTTTATTGTTTTTGCGGGTAAAGTGGGACAGTAAAAGTATTATGCAGGGATAGAGAACATTGTTTAGTTGCTAAGGGGACAGTTTAGGCCAATTGTTTTCACCAGATTGTTAATTTCGAGCTATTTTGTACATGTTAGCTGTATAGAGTTGCAATGCTAACTGGAGTAAGCTAGCGGAGATTTGGGAAATTACAATGAGTGTGTATTAACACCAACACTACTGATAGAATCTAATTTGTACCAAAAAAAAGGCATATATATTGACATAATTTCGTTTTGTATGTATTTGTTTTTATGATTTTGTGGCTATTTGTTATATTCGCAGTTCTGCATGAGTATGGCAGAAAACACAGCAGACACGCGAGTTAACGCAATGTTTATTGTTTTGCAGAAATAAAAAAAAGTCAACTACTGCACCACCTTGAGTTTGATTATTCAAGTGTGCAACAAAATCTGGTGTCAGAAGTGGAATCAGCGGTGCTACAGTGAACGGAGATGGAAGAAGTAGAGTTTGAGGGGCTGCAAGACCAGCTCAGTGAAATCTTGGTACAACTGAACTGTGAGCAACTTCGCAATGTCTGCGAGCAATGCAAAATCTCAACTGAAAAACTGAAAACAAAGCACTCGCTGATCAGAATGATAAGTGAAGTAGTTGAAAGGAACATTGAAGATGAGGAGGTGGATGTGGCACGTGAATTTCTTTCTCAGCTGTTAACATATGCACACGAACTAAAAGGGAAGGCTGACAAAACACCGCCTGCAATGGAGAACCCCAATCCAGATGCAGCAGTGATGGCCAGTTTAAAGGAACAGTATGCTTCCCTCCAGTTAACATTTCAAACGGCAGCACAAAAGCTAGAGGAAGAAATGGCTAAATTCACACCAAGTGCCAGCCCATCCCCTGCCCCCAGGTTAACTACTCCAGCCCAGTTACCTGAGTTCATAATTCGCAGAGAATTCAAAATCAATGGTCAAATTGGAGAAAGAGGTCAAAAGGACAAGTTGTCATACTCTAACCTGATTCATCAGATCGAAATGGGACTGAGAAAAGGACACAGCGAAGCTGAGATAGTGGAAGCTGTGATCAGAGCTGTAAGCCCTGGATTGAGTCTCCGTGACATGCTAGAGATAAAAACAGATTTAACTCTATCTCAACTCCGTACCATCCTCAAAGGTCATTACAAAGAAGATAGCTCAACAGATCTCTATCATAGATTGATAAATATCACCCAAGAGTGTAATGAGTCCCCACAGAACTTTTTATTCAGAGCTATTGAGTTAAAAGAGCGTCTCTTTGCTTCATCGAGAGAGCCAGGGGCAGAAGAATATTACAGTAGTGACCTTGTACAAAGAAAATTCCTCAGAGCAGTGGGTACAGGACTCATAAACGATAACGTGAAATATCAAATCAAAACATGCCTTGATGATACAGCCGTTACTGATGATGTCCTCATTACCAAGATAAATGAAGCAGCAAGCTTAGAGTGGGAGAGGCAACAAAAGTTTCGCAAACACAGCAAGGAACCAAGAATCAGAGAAGTAAAAGCAGAATCTCAAACAGTGCTGAAAGAAGAGATAGGTGCTGCCGGTGGCCGTGAACTGTCGTCCCCTGCAGCCCCTAAGGTCAAAGCACAACCCACAATGTCTCGTAGGGACTGTTAGGATGTTATCAGCCAACTCAAAGGGGAAATCGCTGAAATAAAAAGTTCTATCCATGAATCAAAAAGACCTACCCCTCAGAATCGTCCTAACAAAAAGAAGGGCTGCAAAAACTGCCAGGAGCGCAATCAAGAAGAGACGTGTGATCATTTGCTTTAAGTATGGGCAGAGTGGTCACTTAACACTAAGTGACCATGTAGGGGATGTAGGAACCGCAGAAAACCCATGGACAGGACTGTCTCAATAGATTTGTCCGCTAGTACGGTAAAAACACTCACACAGGCTCCTCGCTCAAAACAGAGTGAACAAAGAGATGTGAATAACCTCATTACAAACTGCATTCAGTATCTTGAAACTAAAGTGGCAGCTAATATCCAAAGTGAAGAGAGAACAGCAGTGAGCATCAATCTTCTGTCACCACAGCGGAAAGACCAGCTACTTCATCTTATTGGTAAGAGACACATGATCACCTGTAAGTTTGATGGACACGAAACAAAGGCACTATGGGACACAGGATCACAAGTCTGTCTTATTAACGAGAACTGGAGACAGACAAATATCCCACATACTACTGTGAGAAGTCTGTCAGAAATCCTGGGTCCTGGTATTTTGGATGGTAGGGCAGTGAATCAAACTCCAATTCCTTTTCAGGGATGGGTTGAGATGAAGTTTGGCTACCTGCTTCAGAAGCTACAGTAGGTCCCATTCCGTTTTGTCGCCTTTCTTTTATTTTCCCCCCTCCCAGTGATGTTGCAATGACCAAAACAACCACCAGGTGGCACTTGTGAGCAGGGTTACATTGGCGTCTCATCGCTCTTTCTTCTCTCTTCACTAGGAGAGAGGCTTTAAGCCTAGCGTACTGTACATCGGACTTATATCCGTCGCCTATGAGTTTCTGCCCCGCGCACATCGACAATCTGGTTAAAACAGGCAACTCCTTGTAGCAAGCCAGTCTCTGGAATAACCCGCAGACATTAAAACTACTGCATTTAACGTAAACGTTTGCATCACGTTGGTGATCTTTCCAAAAAGAGAGAATATCGTTATGGAAAGAGAAACTATTGGTAATATAACGCTGAACGTTATCTGACTCAAACAGCTCCGCTGGTGTCTCCTCCCACTCAGAAAAAAAGCAGACGCCTTTTCTCTGGCATCTCTAACATTTATAATAAATACATAAATATAACAATCATAAATGAAGATGCTTTCAAATAATTTAGCAAGCTGTAATTCATTTATTTTAACTGCCAAACTTCTCTCGCTGCTCTCTCCTCCGCAAACCACTAAATGAGGAAAAGGGAATATTCACTCAATCTATTTTGAATGTTACACATACAATATTAATATAGTCTAAGCACGTGTACCACCTGTAGCCCGTGTATTTACCACAGACTGTAAGTATTAAAGTAATGAGGCCCCTGCT